ATTTGTGTTGTGCCTTGTCTTATTCTTATAGAAGTTTAAAAGTTTTAATTTTAAAAATTATCAGCGTTTCGCAAGCACGCAGTTCTTTGGGGTGGTCATTCTATTCCTTTGCAGCGGCATACTCGAATGTTGACTGGCCCATAGCTGTTTTGTATCTTGGGAGATGGAGTTCCTTACTATCTCTGTGGGCTTTACGACGAAGTTCTGATCTCAATACAAAATACCCTTGAAGTTTGCTGGGACAGTGACAATCATTTACAATTTTATATACTAGTTGGAGACGAAGATAGCGGCGCCTACTGGATAATGTTAACAGGCCAAGCCTCTCCCTCATTGACTGTGTGCACGTTAAGGGATTTACTCTTAAATTATTCGCATCGCTTTGTTCTGCAACCTTTCCAAAAAATCGGAGTTCTTCTAGTATTTATAAGCTTAAATCTAACTTAACTTAAAAATTAATTTAACCTTAGAACTTTATTGGTCCACAGTAAAGATACTTGCAGCCTATTCGATGGTTTAATATGTAATACGAGCACAAATTTTGCGAGTTGAACGCGTTGCGAAGTATTTTCCGAGCCAGTAAGAACGAGGAAAAATAGGGCAAGCAATAAGCAAATTGTTCGCTCGTGTTATATGTCAAACCATCAAATAAGGGATTTATTATTCAGCTACAGTATTATTTTATTTTCTAGTAGCCCATTTGACTTATAGTTTTGGAAACTAGAGTCTTGTTTCAGCGTCGTACAGATCCCATAAAGAACGCGCGAAAATAGAAAAGTTTCAAAAGAAAACATTCAAGTGTTCTTGATGACCAAAAACAAATTCTTTTGGGCTCCTAAGCTTGATGCTTGTTGCCAAAAAATGTCTATGAAACTGTGGCATAATTTGCGTGTTCCATTACCCTAATATGATACATAATATCGTACATTAAAGCTCATTTGTGCGATGGCTGCAATAAATGGTAGCACAGGACCTGCAACAGTGGAGTATCACGAGAAACTTACAGGGACGCCTTCATTTCGCATGAGACCATTGCCACAACCTTCGACAGCCTAAACCAGAAGCCAAGACGGAGCCTTTACAGCTCAGTTGCATCGAGGTAAACTGGCAACGAAACGTCTGACTTCAGGTACGAATCGACTGGTTGCGAAAGATCCTTGCGTACGACAGGATTGGGAAGTAGCTCCAGCGATCCATCCTCGTCCTTTTGTTCATCGGAACTATTCTTGCTGAGCAGGTCAAGCTTCTTGTTCTTCTGAACCAGGCAAAAAATGACTGCAAAAGCAATCACGAGTACCCCAAACAAAAGCACGATAAGCACGATTACCACGATTAAGAGCTTATTGCAGTCTATCGGAGACTCCACGTCTTCCTTTCCTAAGGATGAACAGATCGTTTTTTCATACTGTTCAGTAACTGAGTGAAATATTACATAAAGTATACATGCACTTTATGACCCTGTGGAACACAGAAAACGTCAAACACGTCTATAATTTCCTCGCACTGACTGTAAAAAAGAAACCGGGAAAAAGAAAAAAAAAAAGAAAAAAAAGGTGACGAGATAAGAGATAGCTTGCGGTGCATGAATTATGAACAGATGTTTATGGGAGGTTAAACATAGAATACAGAAATACTCATCCTCATTCAGAGCATCAGATACATATGAATATAACGATTACCAAAGCAGCATTATTTCAAATAGCTGTCGCAAAATTTATTAATTTTGTTGTTGATAAGATAAGGAAGAAAAAGAAATTGAGTTGTTCTTATTATAAAAAGAATCCCACTCGCCTTGCCATCGGCGAACAAATGATACAAATTGCTCTTTCAAGCTCTAAATAAAATATCAGCTTTATCCATGACTGGGCATTTCCAGGAACCAGTTAATCATATTCATAGTATTTAAGAGTGGTGACAAAATTCAAATAATTAGAGCTTCCCATTGCCAGGCAATTGTTTGATGGTGCAAACCAGGTTTTCTGATTCTTCCTTGATAGAACTGAAAACATTGAGTCTGTCCTAAAGTCACATGTATGAATACTCACCAATAACAATTACTCGCACAGTGTGATTATCATATCCTAAAGAATTCTTGGCTCGACAGGTATATGATCCATTGTCTTCCATAGTAGCAGTTTGCCTCTCAAAGTTTGCATAGGTACTTGTTTCGTTCTTCAGGAGTTTATTATCACGTGTCCATGTCACTTGGGGTAAAGGATAACCAACAGCATAACACTCCAAAACCAGTTTCATATCTTTCACTACATAGACAGTTAGCAGACTTTTGGAAATTATTTTTGGTGGTTCTAAGATAGTAGATATCAAAAAGAAAAATCACAAGATGGTAAGATACATTATCACTGTGATACCATAACAATGAAATTGAAAATAATAATCATAATGATAATAACAATATTGATATTGATAAATTTTTTCATGTATATTATCAGGGCTGAAATCATACACGTGATTTCAAAATCGAAAGAGCACGTGGCGCGAGTTCGATTTGAAAACACAAGTATGATTTCAGACCAAAATTGCATGACATGAGGTTCAATTACTACTTTTATTATTACATCCATTTTGAAGCCGCTTAAATACAGGACTTGGTCAATTCAAATATTTTTATTGATGCAGTATTGAGCTGGTTTTTAATTAAAAAGCGAAACTGGAAACGCTTTTACATCTTATTTTGTATGCAAAACAGAAAGACTTTGACATCATGTGTCAAAAACTCAATCAAGCGTAAAATGATGCGATTTAGAGCTAAAAATGGTGCAATTTGTGAGTAAATCGCACCAATTAGAGCCAATCAAATTACAGAGACCACCAGTGATTTCAAAATGGATGTAATGAAGATGATAATAGCAAGGATGATAATGAATTAAGATGATATCATTGAATTTTGAGTTGATCTGGCCATATCAAGGGTGAGTTCATACCTTTAGAAATTTCCAAGAGTGTGATGAAGTTTGTCAATCCAAGAAGAGGGATTTACTACCAATTTTGTAAAGGAGAGTTTTCTCCTCATATTAAGGTGATACTTTAAGGATAGTCAATGCTCCAGTGACATTAAATACAAATTAAAATTTTTCCTCATTATCTACCACCACAGTGCTGATGTTGACAATGTGCACAATGTGGTGTTCATCCAACCCAGACGTGCATTCTTCTAAGTCGTTAAAATATCAACTGAGTTCTCGTTTTTGTTTGTTTTGTTTTCCTCAAGATACATCAACTAGCATACAAACAAACAAACAATAGCACCATCCTTAACAAGTTAGCAACTCACTGAAAAAAGATTATATATGGATATGAAGGAGAAAGGCATGAATCATAATAAAGTAACAGAAGTATCCTTACCTAAGGGAGGTGATGACAAACAACTCTCAGCATCAAAAAAAGGTAAATATGATAGTGTTACAACAAATTGCTGACCTGCATCAATAACTTCCTCTTACTGACTGACTGTAAAAAGAAACCAAAAAAAAAAAAAGATCACATGACAATCTAAAGGGTAAGGAGCTTAGTGCATGAATTATAAACAGATGTTTATGAGAGGTTAAACATAGAATGCAGAAATACTCATCCTCATTCAGAGCATCAGCTACATATGAATGTAATGATTATCAAAGCACATTACTTCAAATAGCTGTCACAAGATTTAACTTTGTTGTTGATAAGATAAGGAAGAAAAAGAAACTGAGTTGTTCTTATTATAAAAAGAATCCCATTCGCCTTGCCATCGCCTAACAAATGATACAAATTGCTCTTTCAAGCTCTAAATAAAATATCAGCTTTATCCATGACTGGGCATTTCCAGGAACCAGTTAATCATATTCATAGTATTTAAGAGTGGTAACAAAATTTGAATAATTACAGCTTCCCATTGCCAGGCAATTGTTTGATGGTACAAGCCACGTTTTCTGATTCTTCCTTGATAGAACTGAAAACATTGAGTCTGTCCTAAAGTCACATGTATGAATACTCACCAATAACAATTACTTGCACGGTGTGATTATCATATCCTAAAGAATTCTCGGCTCGACAGGTATATGATCCATTGTCTTCCATAGTAGCAGTTTGCCTCTCAAAGTTTGCATAGGTACTTGTTTTGTTCTTCAGGAGTTTATTATCACGCATCCATGTCACTTGGGGTAAAGGATAACCAACAGCATAACACTCCAAAACCAGTTTCATACCTTTCACTACATAGACAATTTGTGGACTTCTGGAAATTATTTTTGGTGGTTCTAAGATAACAGATAACAAAAAGAAAAATCACAAGATAGTAAGATACATTATCACTGTGATACCATAACAATAATGATAATGTATGATGCACGATCCTTCACAGTAGATAGCGCTATTTATGCAATAGCGAAAATCAGACCTGAAAAAATCAGGCCTGTACGGGATTCGAACCACTGACCTCTGC